TATCAACACTCAATACATCATACAACCAGGGTTGACGTCTAATTTTTCAAGATGATCTCTCATCCCTCTTACAACGAGACACTGACTTTCCTTCCTTGAGAGCCACGGCTTGTGGTCCCTCTTGAATATGGGCAGGCTAGTGACTGTGGCAGAAGTGAAGCAAGGTGACTTCCAATGCTGGGTTGGAAAAGGTGATATACTTTTCCCTGACTCTCTTGAGAAGAGCGCACTTTGAATCCAGCCACTACGTTGTAACAAAGCTGTCACATGGAGGAGCCGTATGTAGGCATCCTGGCTGATAGCCCACGCTGAGGTTTTATCTCAGTACCAGTACTGGTTAACCACCAGACACCTGAGGAGGCTTTCAAGAGGACACCAGCCCCAGACAAGATCTTACACCAAGCACATGAGCGCCCCAAGTTACAACAGTCTAATTGAGCACAGTCAACCCCCCAGAACCACAGGAAATGATTATTGATTTAAGCCACTAAGTTTTGAGGTGATCCACTATGCATTAGGTAACTAGAATATCTATGCTACAACCTGCCCACTCTCCAGCTGAATGGATATCTGGGTTGTTTCTAAGTTTATGCTATTACAACAGTGATCTTACGAACATTCTGATACCTGCCCTGGATGCATGTGTAAATTTCTCCAGAATGGTAACTGGTAGATTGGCGAATATGTCATCTTCAATTATGCTACAACATATCAAACTGTTTTCCAAAATGCTGATGCCAGCTTACATTCCAACAGCAGTCTACACACTACTACTATCCCACATCTTTCCCAACACTTGAGACTTTAATCTTTTCGCCAGTCCACTGGGCACAAAAGTCTTATTGTATACATCCTTTTGTACCTTTGAATTTTGTGTTGTTTGCATGAATTAATGCAAAATAATCAGATAAATGTATGCTAATAAATGACTGCTTTTCTCTTTTAAACATGTTTTGTATATTGGGGTTCCATACGAAGATTACTTTGTTTTTTGGCCACGCCACGTATCTCTCATTATGCAGCTGCCTAGCCCAGGCTCATCTCCACAGTGGTGGCTGCAGGGTTCCCAGAAGCAGCATAAACAGGCAGGCTCCACATGTGCAAAGACCTCTTAAGTCTAATTAACTTAGTAAAGTACATACTTTGTACTTCCTGGCACCTGGGTGGCGGTCCGCATTACTTCTGCACATCCCCTGATCCTCTTCCTGCAGTGGCCTCCAAATTAGACAGGTCTAACTGTTCTTAATTCCTCTCTGGAATGGGGTGATACATGTATAAGTAAATCAACTGAAGAATGCCAAGACTTTTGGGGGAGAACCTCATTGGGATGTGCTGTTGACCCAACATCAGTGTTTGCACTGAAGTGGTGTCACTGAAGTTCTTCTAATTCACCCCTGAACCAAACCCACCTTTCCCCACAGCAGCACTACCTGTAATAACAAGGAACTGGAAACAAAGTGAACCCTTTCCTAAAGGACTGGTTGAGTAAGCTAGGTCATTAACATGCATGTGCACATCTGTGTGTATTGTGTTCCTCTGGCTATATGTATGCATGCACATATGTGTGTGTGTGTATACACACACACACACACACACACACACAGACACATCTCTGGAAGGGTGATCCAAGACACTCGCAACACTGGTGGCCTCTGAGGAGGGGGCTGGGAAGCTAGGAGACTTGGGAAGAACTTTTCACTGTGAAGCCTTTGTATCTTGGCATTTTGTACTGGGTGTATGTAGTCTTTGGGGTGACCAAAAATTTCATTCAGGTTTTTCTGTGAGATGTTTGTGGAAAAGCCAAATGAACTTTTTGGCCAACCCAATACTTACTCTCGAAAATGTTTCAGAGAACCAGAGGAAGAAATAATACACCCCTGTGGGCCACAGCTGTTGGGGCTGGCTTGGGAGAATCGCCGAATCAAATGGGTGGGACGCTGGGGCGGCTGGGAGGCTGAGGGGTCCGGCTCCACTCTGTCAGGCAGGCGGTGGCAGGGTGGGCACGGCCCTCAAGGCCCATGGCCTTCCAGAGCTGCAAGTGCTCCCTGGGGTAGGTGACGGGGTAGCGCGTACACTCAACTCGAGGACACCCAAAACCACTCTCCCAGGACCCTGCCCTCCCCTTTACAGAAAGGGGCCCTGTTTCCGATCTGCAGGTGAGGCAGCACAGGGCCGGGGCTGAGGGGCGAGGCGCCTGCTCACCTCCCAACGTCACGCCCAGTGCCGCCACCCGCCGGCTGTCTGTCCCCCTCCGAGCCTCTGTAAGGAGCAACAGTGCCTCGACTTACCTCACAGCAGGTAAGCTTGTCGTGATAAGTGAGCTACACATTTTTATGTCATTTTAGTTCCTATTATGCATTAAGAAATTACCCTGTGCTCTTAAATTTAGTAACTGGAACCCTTCCAGGCAACCCTGGCAGTTGATGAAATTATCTATGAAGTGGAACTCAAGGAAGTCACTAGGAGGGTTTTTAAAGAAAAAAAAGAGGTGAAGAACCACACGGAAAGTGCCTCTGTGTGTGAGCGCCTCCTTGTGGCCCTGACACAAACGGGCGGCCTCTGGGATCTTGACATCACCATCCTTTGCTGTCCTTCTGAGGTCAGCAACCTCAACCAGCCCCACGATGGTCTGGCTGGACCCTCACCAGGAGAGGGGGACTATGGCTGCTCTATCACTGCCCCTCATACTGAAGTCCGGCCCCTCACACCACAGGCCCAGTGCGTGGGACTCTGCCTGACGAGCAGTAGCCTCCCAGTATGACGTCGCCGACAAACTAAAAATAAGGGGATGATTATTTATGGAGACAAAAACAGGTCTGGAGATGGATGACAGTTATACAACAGTATGAATATACTTAGTGCCACTGAAGAGGACACGTAAGAACGGTTCAAATGGTCGGTGTTGTGTTGAAACGGAAAATGGAAAAAAAAAAAAGGATGCAGTCTAACCTCACCTTCACCTGCTCTCAGTTCTCCTCCTAACTCCCTGACCACTCCTTGGTAATCTCCTTGTCAGAGACTATTCTCCAGGTGAGAACAGCACCCCCACTCCCTTCTGGGTCCCCTCTTCTCTCTGTGTTCTCCTGTAGCTGGTATCACCAGGCCCGCAGCTGCAAACATGGCTGGGCCCTGAGCATTCCCCACAGACTGCTCACCTCTCAGTCAACCCGGTGAAACCTGAGCGCCCTCCCGCCCCATCCAGGGCTACGAAACAGCATGTTTCTCTGGATGCTCAAGTGCCCCATCCAGGCGTGATCCAGCCCCTTTTCTTTTCCCAAATTCCAACCCATCCGCAGGGAGAATCCTGCTGCCCCTCTCGAGGCACCCCAAAGTCCACCCCTGCCTTCCTCCCCAGCCCACCACTCCCCCCCAGGCTGCCTCCCTGCCTCCATCCCACCCTCCCGACAACTCCTCCTCCTCACAGTGGCCCTAGCAACCTTCACATAAGGCAACTCAGATCACCATTTGTTTGCCTCAAACCCTGCCAAACTCAACGCTCTTGGGAAGGGGTTCAAATTCCTTAGGCCCGTCACTCACTCACTCGGTCACCAGCCACGCTGGTCTCCTCCGTGTCCCCCCGGCCCCACCTCAGGGCCTGGCCTTGCCTGTTTACCCTGCCTGAGCACTCTGCTCCTGAACTTCACGTAAACCACCCTACAGGTCACCTCCTCTGAAAGGCTTTCTTACCCCAAACATCTAGAGACCCTGATCACGGGCGCTCATCCTTCCTTCCGACTCTGAGCAGCGTGATCACTTTACCGCTTATCTCTCTGGCTGGCAAGGTCAGCCACGCAGACAGGGACAGGTCTGTCTGGCTCATGGATGGAGCCCCAGCCCCTAGAGTGGGCCTGGCAGACAGCAGGTACCATACAGCAGGGAGCGGGTGAACAACCCAGTCCACAGGCACCCACAGCCTCACCGTGGAGCTGTGATCTGGAAAACCATTCACAGGCAGATTGGCAGAAATGGGGGAAACCTATGAAGAGGAGGGCAGACGGACAGAACCCCTGCAGGTTGCCCAGAGGAGGAGGAGGTGGCCCAAGTGGATGATGACCATGACTGTTACTCCCTTCACCCCAGAGCTGGCAGCAAAATCACGGCCTACAGGTGTGAGGGAGCTGGCCCAACTCTCCATGGGCGCCAAGCCTACCCTGTGCCTCGTGTGAAAAACAATCCTGCAACTCACCCTGAAGGAGGGGAGGGAAACAGTCTGAAAGTCACACAAAATATATTAAAATAGCTGTTTTCTTCTCTCAGTGTTGGCTTCCCATCTCAGTGCCCCGTACCCGCCACCCGCCACAGACTTTTAGGGAGAAAAGAGGCCCAGACGGGTGCCCTGGCCGCAGCCCGGGGTCTGGGGAGGTCCCTCCAGCCTGGGAGTGAGGGCGGCTAACAGTCTCTACTGGCTCGACGCCACCGCCGACGAGGGCGCCGCTGGGAGGCCGGAGGTGCAGGAGGGTCAGGCAGGACACAGCGGACAGTCGGGCCTTGCCACGGGGACAGAAAACAGAAAAGAAACGAACAGAGTGAAGATCGGGAGAGAGCGGAAAGGGCAAAGCAGTGGGGGGTGGGCAGAGGCAGGCGGGCAAGGAAGTCATGGGTGGGGGACACAGAGGCCTCTCGGGGTGCACCCACTCTGGGGGACAGGGAGGCCGCAGAACGGGGGTTTGAGGCAGCAGATGCTGCTGGGAGAGAGGAAGGGCATGGAGGGAGGAGAAGGGTCCTTGGCACTGGGAGAGGTAAAAGGGGGGGTCCTGCCAAGGCCACAGTCAAGAGGAGAGAACAGAGGACGGGAGAGAAGGGAAGTCCCAGAGCGGCAAGGCCGGGCCATGGCGACCCTTTCAGACTCAGAACACCCAGGTGGCTCCCCGGAAAGCTCAGGCCGGCAGAACACCTGAGGGTGACTAGTCGTCCCGAAGCCGGCGGGGAGGGGTGACGCGCCCTCGCTGAAGACTGACGGAGCCGGGAGTCAGGAGAGGGGCCTGCGCCCCGCCCTTGGGCTAGAAGGTCCTCCGGCCCAGTCTTTTGAATACGCTCACGGTGCCCGCGTGGTCCATCTGGGCACCCAGGCCCTCGCTGGAGCTGCTCCCCCGGGGCCCCACCAGAGTCCTCTTAATGGTGACCTTGACCTCAGCGGAGGACTTACTCTTGGTGCTGGTGACCTGGCTGTCCTGGGCCTCGGGCACGAGGGCGGGCTTGCCCAGTCTCTGGATGATGCTGACTTTGGACAGGGCCTCCGGCTTCCTCTCGGGCGCCGGGCGCGAGGAGAGAGCCAGGCGCCGCAGCGTGGGGGCGGCAGCGGCTGGCGCTGAGCTCGTTGCCTTGGCTTTGACAGGCAGTGCGGGCTGTGGGCTGGCCTTGGCGGGGGCGCGGCCCAGCTTCTTCAGGACCCCGGCGTACTGTAGGACAGAGCTGCTGCTGCTGTCGTTGTCACTGTCCCAGGCCAGGTCCTCGTCTGTCTCGGGGGTGGCCCCCAGGCGGCTGAAGACTCCGGTGGGCTGTGGGGGTCACAGACAGGGCAGGTGAGCCACCGAGCCACTCAAACTGTAACCGCAGAGCTGCCTCACCCGTGCCGGGCCTCGTGGGGCTCGCAGTTGGGAAGCGCACCCCTCACTGACATACTCAATAGTGATGAGAGCCAGGAGAGACCCAGTCCAGGGAACGGGGGGAGCCCAGAGGAGACCCCTCCCTGCCGAAGTTAGGGGAAGGCACCCTGGGGAAGGGAAACCTAGGATGAGATCTGAGAGCTGAGTGGATGTGAGTCAAATAAAGAGCAGGAGGGAGAGGGGAGGTGAAAGGGAAACCTGTCTGCGAAGGTCTACAGAGGACGACAGAGAAAAGGCAAATTTGGTCAATCACCCCACAAATAATCTCTGAGTCCCAACTCAACATCTGGCCCTGTATTGGGCACTGCTGGTGACTCAGTGCTGACCAAGACGGGCCCTGCCCCACTCACAGGGGGCTTACAGTCCAGCGGGGAAGACAGAGCCGGCATCGGATCTCACACAAGTAATTCTCCAGTGACAATAGGACTGTGTGCTTGGGAGGGTGGGGGGCAGTGGAGAGCTGCAGACAGGGAAGCCTCGTCTCCTCGCTGAGTTCAGGGATGCTTTCTCTGAGGCTTCAGTGTTTAAGCAGAGTAAAGCGTGCCATCAAAGTCCCCCAGGCACGAGTAAGAATCATATTTATGGGGTACTTGCTATGTGCTCAGCTCTTTCCATGGCGGCATCTTTATGCCAGGTGATCCTGAGCATTACAATCACGCTCACGATAAGATTTAGGAAATGAGAAAAAAGCCAGAGTGGGTGAGCCCTGGTGAGCAGGAAGGAAAGGCAGCTGGCAAACTTGACCAGCGTGAATCTTAGGTGCCATTTCAAGACGCTCACCAGGGACTTCCCCGGCGGTCCAGCAGTTAACACTGTGCTTCCACTGCCGAGGGTGTTGGTTCGAGCCCTGGTAGGGAAAGTTCCATGTGCCGCTCAGTGTGGCCAAAAAAAAATAGATGCCGACCAGACAGACAGACCCCGCCACACAGGTACACCTCATGAGTCCTCACGACCACCCTGTGAGGCAGGAACTATACAGAGGAGGAAACTGAGGTGAAATGGTCAAGGCCACGAAGCCAGACAATGGCAGAGCAGGATTCAGGCCAGGCGACGGGCTCAGACTGCGTCTCCTAACTGCATGCCGAGCCTGAAGCCTGCGGGACTGCAAGTGGAGGCGAGAAAATCGGGCTGCATCCTGGGCTGGTGAAAAGCCTCTGAAGGGTTTACAGTGGGTGAGGAGGGCAGAAGGGGCCTGTCCTGTGGGTTGTAGGTGCTACTGCTGTGGGAGGGGCTGGAGGGCTTTCTCTGGAGCTGCACAGACACCAGCTAAGAGGCCGCTGCCCATCCCGACGGGAAGAGGCAGCAGACAGGAGGAGACAGATGGTGCCCTCAGACTCGAGACTGCCTGGAAGGGGGGCATGGAGCCCCCGAGACAAGAGGAGGATGTACTTTGGAGCAAGATTTGAGGCTAGTTAGGGGACACGGTGGTGGGAGGGGTCCCAGGGCACTGTCCAGGGGTCCGCCGGAGCCCTGGGGCTAGAAATCGGGAGAGAGATCGGGGTAGCAGACAGACAGGGAGTACAGACGAGGGCACCGGACTGGAAAGGTACATGAGACAGGGTGAGGTGTATGCAGGAAGTGCCAGGAATGACACTCAGGGAAGACAAAGCTTTGAGAGTCCCCAGGGGCTCCCCCACTTCCCACTCACTTTATTCCCCGTTGTGGTGTCTGCCTTGGTCTCAGCGCCGAGGCGGTCAAACACAGATGTCCTGTGGAGACCTGGGAGGGAAGTAAGGTCATTAGCCAATGCCTGGGGGGTGGCCCCTGCAGGCCTACGCCCGGCTGAGCACCAAGCAGACGGGCAGGAGTCATCACGGCCAGCCCAGACCGCAGGCAGCTCTGGTCCAAGCAGGCACACGCTGGACCGAGTCAGGTTTTATGTCTATGTTGTCCGCTAACACTGACCTCAACCCCCACACTTCTGGTCAATGTCAAATGTGAGAAGGATCAATTAAAAGGGACACTTCCAGTCCTTACCCCTTGGTACCAATTCTTGAACTGTATGCGCGGGTAGAGTTCTAAAGCCCTACTGCTTCCGTCCCCTCTTTTGCGGGCCTTGGGCCTCTAAGAGAATCTGATGAATGGTAATACCCTCCCTAGATAACAGTTTGAAGAGCCATCAACAGAATGTTTACTGGATTACAATACAGAAGTACTATGGAAACACTGAACAGCCATTAGAAAGAATGAAGCAGATCCACATGCACTAATGTGAAAAGAGCTCAATAAAACCTTATACAACAATACATACAGGATGAGACTATTTGTGCTTAAAAAGAAAAAAAAAAGCCAAGATGTATGTAAACACACAAACAGATGCACTTAAGTTCACAGATGCTGTTCTGGAAAGGTTCACAGTACGTGTGGGATACAGGAGCTCGAGTTTGTTTTTACTGCCTCTGCATCCACTGAATGTTTTCCCATGAGAACATGCACAATGTTCTCAAAGAACGCAGGGCTTCAGCAGGAATAAAAATCCACCTGCCGATACAGGAGACATAAGACACGAGGGTTCAATCCCTGGGTCGGGAAGATCCCCGGAGAAGGAAATGACAATCAGCTCCAGTATTCTTGCCTGGACAATTTCATGGACAGAGGAGCCTGGTGGGCCACAGTCCGTGGGGTTGAAAGGAATCAGACACAACTGAGCACAAAAGGAACGCTGTAAAGAAGAGCATCTTCATACCACCAGATAAACTCCAGCTCTGGATGGAATCTCAACCTGACCCCTCTGGCTCATCACGATGGTTCCTACTGTTTGGGGCACTGTCAGCCAGGCACGGTCACTCACTTAGCAGGCAGGCCAGCACTGGATCCGTGCCACTGTCCCCCAGGGAAGAGACGCCAGCTAAGGCACTGAGGAGCCCTGCTATGCTAACTGCAGGACAAGAGGGCAGAGGTAGATAGATCCTATCTACTATGGTCACCATTGCTGTCTCCTTGGTCCAAGGCCCCCTGGATCCCCATCAGAGCCTGCTTCTGGGCCAACGCCTGTAGAACGTGACCAACCCTGCAAGACGCAGCACAAGGGAAACAGTCTCTGCCCCTCCCCAGGCGGGTACCTTTCGCTGCCTGCTGCTGCTCCAGGATCTTCCGGGTCCGGGGGGTGGTGCCTTTGGGCATGTTGATAATGTACTTCCCCTCCATCTCGGCCGTGACCCGGCGCCGCTTGGTGGGAACACTCAGGCTCTCCTCCTCTCGGCGTGCCAGGGCTGCTGGGGGAGGGGGTGGTGGTGAGCATCATCTGGGAGGGAATGTCCACTCGGGGTGGGGGGCTGGACGCCCTGCAAAGGGCACACATGTGGCCTTTAGCTCCATGTGTTCCCATGACCAGAATCCCCTCTCTTCCCAACCTCCCCCATGGTCACTGACTGAACCATTGAGAAAGTCAGGGGGTCTGGGCCCAGTGGAGTTGCAGAAGGCTGTGGCTGGCCTCCTGGGCTCTCTGTGGCTCTGACCCTGCCCCAGAAGGCTTGCCTCCCAGGCCAGCCAGAATACCCTCAGATGGGAAACTGCTGGGTGGTGGACAGGCCATCAAGGTAATGGCTTCACAGGTATGATCACTTGTTAAAAATCATTCAAGCTATGTACTTACAACATGTGCATTGTGCAAAAGTAAATTATACCTCAACTTTCAAAAATAAACTGAATCTCCTCCACTGTGCTGAGGGGTAGAGAACCATCCATCCCAGGCCCCTCATCTTTTCACTACTTTAGGAATGAATCTTAACTTTCTCGCTCATGGCCCACAAACCGAATGAGGAGGAGGCGCTTCCAGACACATGTGGCCGTAAGGGAGCACCTGTGATGGAGGTGGACAGGGTGCCATGGGGCTGGGCACCAGAATAGCCACACTGCCTCCCTAGGCCTTGCTTTCCACGTGGGCCAAGATCCCTGGGCTGTGGGGGTGGACTCAACAAAGGCAGAAGCGCATGACAGACAGAAGGCGGGCTTGGAAGCCCAAAGGCCAGTGCCCCATTCCCAGGTCACAAGCTGAGACCTGGAAGAGCAGCGGCCAAGCATAAAAGAGTCCATGGAGGAAGAGCGCCCTGGGAGAAGGGGATGTTGGGGCCAAGGCCCCACGATGGGAAGGAGCCTGGAGGGGAACGGAGGCAGCAGGCAAGACCTGAACCCACAGGGCCCAGTAAGGCCATGTGGGAAGATGACTTTACTAATGCAACAATGGGAAGCCCTGGAGAGTTCTAGACAAGGGTGGGAAAGGATCAGATGAAAAGTTTTAAAGGATCCCTCTGGTGGCTAAGAGGAAAGATAGCTTCTTTACCTTTGACCCCAGGCATCAAGCACAGGGCCGGGCACCAGTGCGGGGCTCAGTGACCATCTGTTAAAAAAGACTGAACCACCCATAGTCAACAACACTGTACTGTACACTTAAAGTTTCACGAAGTAGGTAGATCTCATGTTAAGTGTTCTCACCACAATAAAATAAAAATGACACAGACTGAACTGGCCCCTGCGTGAGGACTGCAATGGGCGCATGATGCTCACAGACACCATCTCAAGTGCTTCCAACCGTCTGCAGAGGAGGGTGGCGCCAGCCCCCTTTGACAGACGTGGAAGGCGAGGCCCGCAGCGGGGCCGTGACCTGACCGAGTCTGAACACTGTGGACGCCCCATGGCCTGCACAGCACTTTGCAGCGTCAAAGAACACATCCCCCTGATGCCGTCTGCCAACCCGCAGTGGCCTCCAGCTCCTGCCGCCCCCTGCCCGCATCTCCTCACCGGCAGCCTTGGCACTCTTTGCTGCCATCTTGTTGGACACGGTGACAGAGATCTTGGAGGTGCTGGTGTCTGGCCGCCTGGGGGGAGTGCCGGGTGGAGAGTCTCGGTTCAGGCTGTTGGTGATCATTCGGGAGGCAGCTGGCAGGAGGAGGAAAGAGGAGAGTCCAGTGAGACGGGGTCCCGGGAAGGGGGGGCAGGATGGGGAAGGCCACCTCGGGACTGAATGGGCTGTACTGTCAAGACGGGGAGGCCTGGGGAGGGCCTGTCTTCCAGGGACTAGTCCAGCCCAAGGGGGGCCTTTCTTGAAGCCCAGACCAGATGAGTTCCAAGCAACCTTCACCCATCAGTCACCCAGCCCTGTGCTGAGTTCTTCCCTCCCCCTCCCCCAAAGCCTTGCTTTCCTCCAGGACCTTCCTCTCCAGAAAGCACACACCTTCTCAGGGTGCCTGCTATCTGTCTGGCTGCTGTCTGGCTGGCTCACAGCTCCCCCAGTACCAATGGTACTCTGTCCATTCATTGTCCCTTCATTCATAGCTCCTCTCAGACTCAGTCTCCTCAGAGAAAACTTCCCTGACCGCTCTCTCAACCGCTACCACTTGTAGCCTACACTATTCTTTTTCTTCATAGTCCGTATTACTGCTGGATGTGCGCACATGCTCAGTCACTTCAGCTGTGTCCAACTCTATGCGACGCTATGGACTGTAGCCTGCCAGGCTCCTCAGTCCATGGGATTCTCCAGGCAAGAATACTGGATTGGGAAGCCATGTCCTCCTCCAGGGGATCTTCCCAACCCAGGGATTGAACCCACATCTCCTGCGACTCCTGCATTGCAGGTGGGTTCTTTACCCGCTGAGCCACCAAGGAAGCCCATTACTGCTGGACATTCAAATACATTTATCTGTCTACTGGCAGACTCTCCCATGAGCCTGCAAGCCTCGGGAGGAGACACTGTTTGTTGCTGTGTCCCCAGTGCTTCACAGGTCTTCAATAATAAATATCTACTGAAAACATGAACAGGGTCACTGAACCTCCCATCAACCCTAGCAGGCAGGCTCTGCTGCAAACCAACTTTAAGGATGAGGAAACTGGGGGGACTCTGGGAGGAGGGTCACCCAGCAGGGGCCCTGGGCAATGAGTGTGGCTCCAGTTGGGCTGGGACAAGAAAAAAGGTGACCTCCCTCTGAGGTGGGGAGCAGTCTCGGGCACCCCCTGTCTCCTGTGGAGCAGGAGAAGGGGTGTTCCAGGTTGCGAGATGGGCTACAGAGAGCAGACTGGAGGGCCAGCTCTAGCCTGGGAAGGAAAGGGGTCGCGTCTCCAGGAGCAGCTGCTGCTAGCTTCAGGGGTGGGTTTCCTGAGTTCCTGGGGGAGCCCTGCAGGGGAGGGGGCGGGGGGGGGGTGTCTTCATGCTACCACTGCTTGCTCAGTAGGCCTAGGAATACCCCCCACAATGGCTTTCAGACTTTCCTACTTTGTCCTACCTAACCCCCTCAAAAGTTCTCTCTTCCTGCAATGTACTACCTCTCAAAGCCTCCTGAAATCCTCCACGATGAACCTCAACACAAGATTATAATTTCCTATTGCTTGGTTGTTTTTAACTATAACTACAGTATACAGAAAAATACACCAAAGCTATACAGTCCATTTAACATCAATTCCCCTAAACCAGGACTTTCCTAGTGGTCCAGTGGTTAAGAATGGCTTCCACTGTAGGGGTCATGGGTTTGATCCCTTGTCAGGGAACTAAGGGTGGGTGGGTGAGTGTGTGTGTGTGTGTGTGTGTGTGTGTGTGTAACTTAAATGAATTACTTTGCTGCATACCTGAAACTAACACAACAGTGTAAATCAAGTATATTTCAACAAAAATTTTTTAAAAACCTTGGGTCAGAAGATCAGTTCCTCATTATCAATAAGTGCACAAGTATGATTTGAAGTACTAAAATGCAAAAGTGTTAAAAATAAAATAAATTTTGCAAAAGGTGACCTCTTACTCTGAAAAGAAATCAACTACTTTGAAATAATTTTTTTTTTTAAATGTGTGTTTATATCAGTTTGGGGGAAGCCTGTAAAGCAGCAAAGGCTAATCAATATGTATGTATGTATGTCAAATTTTTCAAGTGTCACACTGCTAAAAAATCAGAAGTATAAATACAGTTGATTCTGTATTTATAAATTGGCAGATTTACAAATTTATTCAACCTCAAAACCAATACTTGTGGGGCTCTGTGGTCATTTATAGACAGGCACAGGGAGACAAAAAACCTGAGTTGTCTAACGCACGTTCCCAACTGAGGTCAAACAAGGTGATGTTCTGCCTTCCTGCCATAGCTCTCACATAGTAAACAAGTTTATTTAGTGGTACCATCTGCCATCTGTTTACAGTCTCCTCAGTGTTATTTTCATATCTTTATGTTTTTGTTAGTGATTCTGCTGTTTAAAATGGTCCCCAAGCCTGGTGATAAGATGCTGTCTAGTGTCCTAAGTTCAAGAAGGCTGGGATGTGCTTTATGGAAAAAATATGTGCGTTGGATAAGCTTCATTCAGGCATGAGTTTTAGTGCTGTGGGCTGTGAGTTCACTGTCAATGAATCAACAATATATATTAAAGAAGGAGTTTTAAAACAGAAACACACATAAAATAAGGTTGTACATTGGTCAGATGATGAAGATGTTGTGACCAGAAGCTTACAGGAACCTGACCCCACATTTCTCTGGGAGCAGTGACTCAGTAGTCACTGACTCAATGCTCCCAGTGGCTTTGCAGAGTGGAACGACCACGAACGAAAATTGATCATGTGCACAGTCACTCACTACCCCATTTACTTCCCCTGAGAGAAGAGAGCCCCGATGGCTTTGCTTCCGCCTCTGCAAAGTCTAGGTGTGTCCCCTTCACTACAGAGTGTAGGAATGAAGGAGAGAGGCCTGAACAGACAGGACTCACCGCTAGAGGCACCTCGACGAATCTCGCCTGGGAGAGGGCTGGGACTGCAGGGCACCGACTCAGTGGCAGCTTTACACATGTCCTGTAAAGAAAACAGGTGTCTGGGGTTACCATGGGGGTTGGACGTGAGGTGGAGGAAAAGGGGACCCAGACATCTGAGTAAAACTTGGGGGGATCAGAGCCTGAGCTGTTAGAGAAGAGATTTCAAAACATTTCACTCTTACTTACAAGTTTTAAGTCGCTTTAGTCATGTCTGACTCTTTGTGACCCTATGGACTGTAGCCCACTAGGGTCCTAATTTCATGGGAATTCTCCAGGCAAGAATACTGGAATGAGTTGCCATGCCCTTGTCCAGGGGATCTTCCTGACCCAGGGATTGAATCCATGTCTCTTTCATCTCCTGCATTGGCAGGCAGGTTCTCTACCACTAGCACCACCTGGGAAGTCCAACTTATAACAAAGTACCAGACAAACCCAAACTGAGGGACATGCTACTGGACACCTGAGCAGTACTCTACAAAACTGTGAAGGTCATCTAAAACTTGGGAAGATTAGGAAACTGTCCCAAATCAAAAGAGACTAAGGAGACATAAGAAGTAAATGCCATGTGGTATGCCAGAGGAGAAAAAGGACATTAGTGGAAAAACGGATGAAACCCAGGTAGTCCGTAGCTTAGTTAATAACAGCATGTGCATATGCTGTCACTCAGTCGTGTCTGACTCTCGGCGACCCCATGGACTGTAGCCTGACAGGCTCCTCTGTCCTTGGAATCTTCCAGGCAAGAACACTGGAGTGGGTTGCTATTTCCTTCTCCAGGGGATCTTCCTGACCCAGAGATCGAATTCCAGTCTCCTGCACTGGCAGGTGGGTTCTTTGTCAATTGTACCACCCGGGAAGCCCAATAATAGCATGGTAAAGTTTCTTTCTCAGTTTTGACAAATATTAGGGGAAGCTGGGTGAAAGAAATACAGTGTATTACTGTTCCAACTTTTCTACAAATCCAAAATCAGTCTCAAATTTAAAAGTTTAAAGAAAAGAACACATTTTGCTCTATGACCTCTGGGATAACTCAGACAGCATGGCTGGCTTGAGAAAGCCCTCGCTGCAGGGTCCTGTGCAGGATGATGGGCAGATGAAAGCCTGGTCCTGGAATGCAGAAAGCCTCTAAAAATTAATGAGAATGAGCGCTTGAGAGAACAGCTCTGCAGCAAGCCTCTGTCTCGGTCAAGTGGAGGGAGGAGTCAGTAAGCTGGTAACGTGCGTAAGGGATGAAGACAGGGACCGGCAGGCCATGGCAAGAGCCTGGTAAGTGCTAACGATTATAGCTAAAGCAGCTCTTTACTCCAGGCCTGGCCCTTGGTGCCATTTACACTATCTGGGGGACGACCACAGAGACCCCATTCAGAAAGCCTGAGTGAAAGGCCTGTTTCAGGGACTGGGGGAGGTGAAACCACTAGTCCAAGGTCACTGTTAACAGAAGGCCCAAGAATGGAACCACCATGTCCTGGGCCAAGTCACCAACTGTGTCCCACCTCGGAAGTGCCTGTTTTTCGGACAGAGAAGAGTCACGGTCAGAATAACTATGATGAGGAAAGGAAAAACGAGTAGTAATAATGATAATAATACTTACGAGAGCCCTTAACGAGGTTCTGCTGTGTACACTGCGCTAGGGCTTTATGTAATTTAATACTTACAATCCCCCTGCAAAATAGGTTTGCCTATGTGCATTCTACAAGTGGAGAAAGTAAGGTTCAGAGGGGTTAGGCAATGTGCCCACGTCACACAGCAAGCAGTGGAACCAACCGTGGAATCCAAGCCTCCAGTCGGTTCTACCACCGCCCCTTCATCCCACCCTAAACTCAGAAACAGAGGCATCGAGCAGAGCACCCACCTGGCGGTGCACCACCTTGGCATGCTTGAGGATGGCAATGATGTCGCCCACCACGGTCACGCCCAGCTCGTTCATGATCTCCTTGTTGAGGTCCAGCAGCATGCTCTTCTGGATTCTGCAGGGAAGGGCCACAGGTGAGTCGGGGACGGTGGGCCGGCCTGCTCGCTAACTCCCCTCCTTTCCCCAAGGTCAGCCCTGTCCCCTCAACAGCCTTACCTATTATCCACAAACATCACGGCATAATTGACAGCAGGTCCTGGAGGAATGCCGGCTTCCTTAAAGAACTGGATCCACTCAGAAGTGGCTGGGGGCGTGGAGGTGTAGACAGGGCTCATTATTTACATGATTCTCCTTAGAGAACAGCAGCAGTAAAACCACAACAGCAGCAGCTCCCACAGATTAAATGCTTATCAAATGCCAGGCCCTGAGCACCCCACATAGATGACCGAACTAAGCCGGCCTGCCAGCTCTGTGAATTAGCAGCACTGACACCTCCACTTGGCCGACGAGGAAACTGAGGCAGGGAGAGGCTGGCCACACTGCTAACAAGCAGACTCCGCGAGCTCCTGTGCTCCTGGACTGCCCGTCTCCTCACAACTCTGCCCTGCCTGGAGCATGACCACCAGTGACCACTGTCCCCCAGGCTTGGCCAATGACTGGGGGCATGGTGGGGGGTGGGCAGTCGGGACTCTGGATTCTCCACCCAGGTCTCCATCAGCAGGTGCAAGCCCAGAGGGTGACAGGATCCACAGGTGGGTGGAAAGAAGGTTTGCACAGCTGGTCTCCGGGTGTCAGCAAGCATCTCTGCTACAACACACACACAGGAGCAGCCCGGCCTCAGAAAGGAGGTCATGAGCACAGGCTTTGGAGTGTGGGTTTGAATCCTGGCCTGGCCATCTCCCAGAAGGACTTAGAGGACGGTAGCGCTTGGTGCTCAGTCTCCTCTGGGGTCAGACATTCCACAAGCGGCACACACCGGATCCGCTCTCGGCACTGGGGATACTACAGGGCCCAGAGTCCCTTCCCTCGGGGCGTGGACACTCTAGTAGTAAGAGCACTGGCGTCCTGGGTCATCGTGCAGACTAAAGAGAAAGGGCACCGAAAGGGCTCGAAATGGCACAAGGCCCAGAGGATGTCCTCCCCCACGGCAGCAGTGATGGTGACGGTGACGGTGATGACGCCACCACTGCGCATGGAGCCTAGACCAGGCAGACTCCATCCATGCAACTTCACTGTTTCCGAAGTTCTTTCTTGGCCTCTTGGGTGGCCTCTTCAAAATGATGCTGACCACTCAGGCCAGGTGTCACAGAGGATCATTGGTTCCAAGTAGAATTTTTTTTCTCACATTTTAGTATCTCGGAAACTAGGATTTACCTCACAATTGATGATGTGCCACAACTTAATTAGCAACATTTTTTTTTAAGTCTTTCTCATGGTATATAATGGTATATCCAAAACTCCACGCTACTTTTTAAAAAGGAGAAATTTGGAGTTACTATGCCCATTTTGCTGATAAGACAACTGAGGCTCAGAGCAGGGCAAGTGACACAGTCTGGATGAGATGCTGCACGGGGGGCGGTGGGGGTCTCAGGCACATCCTCTCCCGAGGCGGCCCCCGCCCGCCCAGCACAGGCCCCTCTCCCCAGTCTGGCGGCAAGTGAGGCGCTCACAGCCTTCTTCTACCAGGACTTCTACCAGCCTTAAGGAAAGGACGGACTTTTTTCTTCTTTGCACAAGCACTTTCCATCTGTCAAGACATGGGGGGGCCTGGGTTCCTTTAGCCAAAAGCAGGCAGCTTTGTCTAAGTATCAAAAACTACCACATAATAGTTCCATTTATGTGAAATGTCCAGAAGTGGTAAATCTATGGCGATCTATAGGGACAGAAAATAGAAGAGCAGCTGCCAGGGACTGGAGCGGGAGAGCAGGGGGAGGGGAGAGACTGCTAATGGGTGTTTGGGAACTGGGGGGAGTTAGGAAAATATTTTGAAATTGCTTGTGGTGATGGATGCACAACTCTACAAACACAGAATTTAAAAACCACTGGACTTCCCTAGTGGTCCAGTGGTTAAGAATCCGCCTGTCAATGCAGGGGACACCTATTCGATCCCTGGCCTGGGAAGATTCCACATGCCATAGAGAACCAAAGCCCGTGGACCACAACTACTGAGCCTGTGAACCGCAACTACTAAAGGTGTGTGCCCTGGAGCCCGTTCTCCGCAACAAGAGAGCAGCCCCCACTCGCAGCAACTGGAGAAAACCCACAAGACCCAGCACAGCCAAAAAGGGGAAAAAAAACAAATCAATGAGTTGTATGAAATGTGAACCGTATCGCAACTAAGCTGTTATTGGCGGAAAGGAAACACCACACAGGTTGGAGGTAGCCAGCTGCCTGATGCAAAGTCCAGGAACTGCGAGAGCCCCTGCATCCAGCCTTCATCATCATGTTGTGTCCTATGAAGGAGGAAGACCTGCTGCCAGTTAAATGGTCATCAGCACCAGCTGTAAGACGCACCCCCATTTCAGAAATGTTAATACAGGCCACAATGCATGTCTGGGACTCAAATGGGTGGCTTGCTGTTCACACCAGAAGACAGGCACTAGAATATTCCTAGCAGCGAGTCTCACAATCTAGAAATAGTATCCATTGACAGCAGCACTGACAAAGAAATGACAATCGATCACTCACACGGTCAATACTACGGGGCAGTGTAAAGCAAGAACTACAGGGAATGCCCCGGGAATCCAGGAATTGAGACTTCCCCCTTCCACTGCAGGGGATGTAAGACCTACCCCTGGTCAGGGAGCTAGGTTCCCACCTGTCTCCTGGCCAAAAAAAGAAAACATTAAAACAGAAGCAATATTGTAACAAATTCAATAAGAACTTTAAAAAAAAAAGGCAAGAACTACAGCTACACACAGCACCAGAGATGAGGCTCCAGCATTGTGCCGAGCAACAGTAGCCAGATACCAAAGAACACAAGGCTGGCAGGATTTCCTTCATGTAAATCCAAAACCAAGTCTGTAGGAACATTTTCATTAGTGGTACAACTACAAAGAAAGGTAAGAAGAGATGATCACAAAGAGAAGACTGTGGTAGATTCCATCTGAAGGAGGGAGGTGGTGTGACTGGGATGGAGCCTCAAGGTAGGCAGGCAATATTCTAGTTCTCGACCTGGATGGTTAGATGCGTGGAGACTTTTTTAAAACCTTTCTTACTAAACTATAACGTACACTCACAAAAGTGCACACAAGTCGATAGAGTTTCATAAACCAACACACCCATGTAACCAGTACCCAGATCAAGAAGTAAAACATTTCCAACATTCTATAAGCATTCCCCTGGCCCCCCATTCCCTAGGGAGTCACTTCTCTCTGCCTCCCAAGGGCAATCAACACCTTCTAGCAGCATAGACTGATTGTGCCCGTTTCTTCATTTTATTACTTTATTTTGACCATGTTGTGCAGCATGTGGGAATCTTAGTTCCCTGAACAGGGATCAAACCCATGCTCCCTGAATTGAAAGTGCAGTCTTAACCACTGGACCACCAGGGAAGTCCCCTCCTGTGCTTTATGTCAATGGAATCAAAAAGGACGTACTCAGACGTTTTCTTTCTAATTGCTCTCATGATCACACAAATATGTTTTACATACTTCTCTATATGTTCAAATGTCCAAAAATTTAAAAGCGACTGGCTAATAATCTCTGTGTTTTGGCAATCCCCAAGTACAAAGTTTAAAGAGAATGTTGATAAAGCTCATGAGAATAGTAACAGCTAACATTTGCTGAGAACTAGGCCCAAGGCTTTACACGTAATCACCTCCTTAATACTTAACGTCCCAGGATGTTATGGTCTCCATTTTGCAGGTGAGAAAATCAAGGCTCTGAGGGGTCATGTGGGCGACCTGCTGGACTGCAGAACCCAAGTTCTTTATGGCCATAGTACATTGTCAGGAGGCCAGGATGTCAGAGAGGAGGCAGTCAGCCCTGAGCAGGCCTGGCCCTGCCTCCAGGTTCCTCAGAGCACAGCTGTTCCTGCCAGTGACCGGCCCCCCACCCCCCACCGGCCCCCCCACCAAGGTCTCACCTCAAAAAGGGGGAGTGGGGAGGGGGGCCCTTGAGAGAAGACTCACCCATAGTCACTGAGACCATTGTCTCGCAGGCCTTCACGCCGCTCCCTGGAGCCTGAAAGAGAGGACAAGGGGAGAGTGCTCAGGAGACGCCGGCAGCAAAGTGTCTGTCCGTCTCTTGCTGCCTGTCTGTCTGCCTGCCAGAAGAGAGTTCCTGGGCTGGGGGCTCACAGCCCAGGAATAGCCTGGACAGCTGGCAGGAAGTCAGCCTGGGGCAGAGCTGTCACTGCAGAGATCACTCCCGCCTGGGACAAGGCCCAGGGACAGCAAATGTCCACAGCTCCGTCCCCACACACCTCCCAAGTTTCTGGCTGGAAAAGAGAGGGACAGAAAAAAGACCCTCCCTGGCCCAAGACCTTAACCATAAATACCCATTCATTCATTCGAAACTCTCTCCTGAAAACCTACTGGGTGTGAGGTACTGTTCTAGGGGTCGGGAATACAGAGGTGAACAAAAACCCGGAGCCTGGCCTCTACACGGTGACACGGTTAAGAGACAGAAAATAACAAGCAAACCAGCTGACAGTGTCGTGTGTCAGAAAGCCTTCGGTGTCATGGAGAAAACAGGGAGGGCCCAGGAAGGGATGGCTTACAATTCTAAATAGGTGGTCAGGGAAGGGCTCTATTTTCTTTTTTTTTTTTTAGTTTCTTAAAAAAACTTTTTGGCCCCACCACGCAGCATGCGAGATCTCAGTTTCCGGACCAGGGATCAAACCCATGCCCCCCGAAGTGGAACTGCAAAGTCTTATCCACTGGACCGCTAGGGAAGTCCCCAGGAGGAGCTCTCCAAAGTGACATTTACGAGACCGAAGGAGGTGGAGAAGTGAGCCATGCAGTTTTAGAGAGGAAGAGTGTTCCAGGAGAAGGTACAGCAAGTTCAGTGCCCTGAGCCAGAAGCCCATCTGGCATGTGCGTGGGGCAGCCAGGAGCCCGCAGGGACCACAGCGGGAGCGAGGAGGTGAGTGACAGCAGCCAGGGACAAGGAGGCGGGGCTCCACGCAGGAGGGGCCCCAGGGCAGAAACGCACAACCAGCTTTCACTTGGATAAGGTCAGCGGGTGCCAGAAAGACACATGACATATGAGCACCAATGGAGACCTTCTGCATGTGAACGGCAGTGCTGAAACAGAACTAAAAGAAATAATCTCCTCACCTGATCTGCCACTACCTGACTCCAGGACCCCCCGTGTCCCACACTGCCCTGCCCTGGCCGTCCTCCTCTTTTCTGTCCCTGCCCTCTCCCCCTACACTGCTCCCCTGCACTCATGCCAACCCCCAGTTCTGACTCGTGTCTCCCACCCCTCCACCACCTACAGGGTGCAGAAGGCCCACTGTCCAGCCCCTTTCAGTGGACCATCACCTACCACCTGCCCCTTCCCACCCACTATTTTGATGGTATCACAGTGATGGTACTCTTGGGGACAGTCCCCAAGATCTAGTGGGGAGCCCACATCCCCACCTTCCAAAGCAGGGGATGTGGGCTCAATCCCTGGTCGAGGAACAAAGATCTCACGTGCTGCAGGGCAACTAAACCCAAGTGCCAGGAGCAACTAACCCGGAGCACCACAACTAGAGGCCTACACAGCATAAGGAAGAGCCCGCGCAGCCAAAAAAAAAGGTGGGGGAGAGGGTGCTTCCCTGGTAGCTCAGTAGTAAAGAATCCGCCTGCCAATGAAGGAGACATGGGTTTGATCCCTGATCCAGGAAGATCCCACATGCCACGGAACAACTAGTGCCGTGCACTACCACTATTCAGCCTGTGCCCTGGAGCCCAGAAACCACAGCTACAGCGCCCACGCACCCTAGACCCTGTGCTCCGCAACAAGAGAAGGCACTACAAAGAGAAGCCGTGTGCCACAGCTAAAGTTGCTCATCACAACTAGAAAAAGCCTTGTGCGGCAACAAAGACCCAGCGTGGCAGAAACCCAAAATACATAAATAAATAAAATTATTTTAAAAAGTAAGGACTCTGGAACCAGACTTGCAGGGTTCAAATCTGGCTCTACCACTTACTAGCCGTGTGACCTTGCCAAGCAACTTCACCAGTCGGGCCTCAGTGTCCCCATCTGTACACCAGGATGGTACACACATGACTTACCCCACAGGACTGCTGTGGGGCCAGATGAGTTTCTATGCATAAAGCACCTAAGAGTGCCTGGTGCATGCTAAGTACTCTAAAAGTGCTGGCTCTTCTTGTCCCCCAGGCCTCCCACTCCAGCCTTCCCGCCAACACCCAAGGGCTTGGCCGGCCACCTATTGTTCACACAGAATGTCACCTGTGCCTTGCATGCTTGCTTCACCTGTCCTCCTAGCAAGCTCTCCATCACTCTGCATGGCTGCCACCTGCTTTGTGATGTCTTCCCAAAGTCCCCAGGGTGACGCTCTCTCCTCCACCCTCAACTAGGATGAGCAACATGACCACAGGCATCACTTGATCCCGTACTTGGCTCCTAAAATGCCCTTTCCCTTCAGGATATTACCACTGGACAAGGACACCACAACCAGCATCTCTCGAAGGGCAAGGCCTGAAGGAGGCTTCAGTTAGCCAGACAGAACAACAACACTGCACATACCAAGCACAAACTATGCACCAGGAATGGTGCCAGGTATCACGCTGACGCCTCACAACCTCCTCATGAGTGAGGACTATCATTAGCCACATTTTAATCAATGGGAAAAAAAACCCAAAACTGACTCATTGTGGTGCAGTCATTTGCCAAATGCCACATCAAGCCAGAGCTTTACTGGGATACAAAAACAAAAACAAGTTCTCCCTGATTCCAGTGCCCATGCAGCAGCTCCTGATGAGCGTTCATGTGCCTGGCATTGCTTATGAACACACCTCAGTGCCTCGTCATCACCACCTGCGGGAGAAAGTAAAAACAATCTCTAAGTTACAGGGGACAGTGGCAGGCCTGAGGTCACACAGCAAGCAACTGAGGGGCCAGGATGTGAACCCAAGTCAGTCCACTGGTCAAGGGATTACTATGAGCTGGACACTGAGGTCTGTCTCAGCAAAGTTTCAGTTAATACTTACTAGAAGCCTTTAGGTACTGGTATCCTCCCTGGGGGCTCAGTGGTAAAGACTCTGCCTGCAGTGCAGGAGACTCGGCTTCGATCCCTGGGTCTGGAAGAGCCTCTGGAAGAGGAAATGGCAACCCACTTTCTTGCTTGGGAAATCCCATGGACAGAGGAGCTTGGCAGGCTACAGTCTGTGGGGTCACAAAAGAGTCAGACACGACTGAGCAACTGAATAATAGTGACATCCTCCCACTACAGCTGCAGAATTCCTGCTAGACTCAATTTTCTCTCTCCACCATTAAAAACCCATTTCCCACGCTGACTTTCTGAACAGGGAAAATTATATAACATTAACAATAATAGGAAAATGACAGCTCTCCAAAATTCAAGTAATTACCATGCACCAGACTCCCTATGTTCAACCCTTAGAAGGCTTGCCTCCAAAGCTCAATCTTACCACTTCCTAACCCTGACTCTAAGGCAAGTGGTTTAACCTCTCTGGATCGCAATTCCTTCAACTGTAAAATAAGAATGATAGGAGTTATTGTACATCAACTATACTCAAATTAAAAAAAAAAAAAAAGGATAGGCATATCTATTTTTAAAGTGCTTAGTGGGGTTAAGAGTTCCTAAATGCCAAGCTGTTAGAACGATACACAGTAGATATTGTATATGTGCATGAAATAAAATAAGTACACCTTCAGTGAGTCAGGAAAAGGGTAGGACAATCACTAAGCCAAGACCATCATATGCCAAGTGTGAGCTGAATACAGAGTATAACTTGACAGGATCCATGAGACCTGACAGCATGGAATCACAAAAATAAAAGTAATTCCTTTTTCAATTCTTTCCTTTTCTATCTACAATGTAATAAACCATTCTGTTTCCACTGGAGTTCAGGCTAAGTTCTCCTTTCCACAGCCAAGCAATGCTAGTTTTCCATTAGAAAAGCAATACAAATTTTCCTTCTCAAATGAACTGACTGGAGAAAAATGAATCAGTGGTTTCAAAGAAAAAGGAAAGCCTAATACTACGGGACTCAGCAAAATATGACAAAATAAGTGGCAGGATGTCGATTTGCCTAGCTGCAGATTCAAAGTCTTTCCTATCACGAAGGAAAAGTGAAGTCTCTGAGTTTCTTCCTCTTCTCTACTTCCTTGCTAGTCTCACCTACACCGATGACTCCTGGAATCATTATGTAGTTATTGTTTAGTCACTAAGTCATGTCCAACTCTCTGCGACCCCACAGACATCAGTGCACCAGGCTTCCCTGTTCTTCACTATCACCTGTAGTTTGCTCAGATTCATGTGCATTGAGTTGGTGATGCTATCAAACTACCTCATCTTCTGCCGCCCTCTCTTCCTTTTGCCTTCAATCTTTCCCAGCATCAGAGTCTTTTTCAATGAATTGGCTCTTCACATCAGGTGGCCAAAGTATTGGAGCTTCAGCTTTAGCATCAGTCCTTCCAATGAATATTTAGGGTTGATTTCCTTGCAGTCCAAGGGACTCTCAAGAGTTTTCTCCAGCACCACAACTGGAAGGTATCATTCTTCAGCGCTCAGCCTCCTTTATGATCCAACACTCACATCCATATATATGGCTACTGAAAAAACCATAGCTTTGACTATAGGGACCTAAACACCTAATGGGTGTCTGCTATGACCAGTATTAGTATTATAGTCCGGATCTATTTATTGAGCTCCTGCTCTACACCGTCAGGCCCTATGCTGAGGACTTTACACGCACATTTCATCAGCATGCTCACAATAACTCTATGATATGATGAAGGGATTATTAGCCTTCATCCTACAGACGAGGAAAACGAGGTTCAGATAAGGGAAGGCACAAGTCCGCTACCACAAAGTGTAGCTTAGGACTTGAAATCTATTGGCTCCCAGTTTCACGCTCCCACACCCTGATCTTCCGTATCAAACACAAACATCATCAACAATACAAACAATAATAGCATGGCAAAGAAGTGTGCAGTGTGCCAGGCGCTGAGCTAGGGCTCCGACAAGCACGAGCTGACTTCTCACTCCAACCTATAAAGAGGATGCTATAGTCACATTCTGACCCCCATTCTACAGAGTAGGAAACTGAGATCCAGAGAAAGAAATCGCTTGTCCAGAGCCGCACGGCGGCGCCAGGACTGACTCCGGAATCCCGGGGCGCCATTCGTCTCCACCGCATCCAACCCAGATCAACCACCCCTGGCCCGCGCCTCACCTGGCCCTCTGAGCCCGCGCCCACTCGCGCCGCCCGCCCTCCCGGCGGCGCCAACTGTCAGACCCACCTCCCTCGGCCCGGCTGCCCGCCCCGGAAGCACCGTTCTCGCCGCCGGAAGTCGGACTTACCCGCCCGCGGCCGCTCTAGCCCACGGGAGAGCCACCAGCGAGAGCGCAGGGGCAATTGTCACGTGGCCACCCGCAGTCTCCCAGGCGCTTCCCCCGCCCGGCTCTAGCGAGGAGCACGGCCAATGAGAAAAGCAATTGCTTGGCCCCCGCGGGTCCGCAGTCCAGCCGGAGTGCGCCTGCGCGCGGCGGGGTTTGGGTCGGGGGTGGGGGGGTGGCGCTCGGGGTTCCAGCCTAGAAGGTACGAGCGGGGCTGGGTCCCGGAGTGGGAAACGTGGAGTGCAGGTAATGTGCGATCTGGGGGCGCGGCGCCTCGGCTGCCTTTATGTTGTCCTTCCTTTATCATGCATTTCTCCTCTCATATCGTCCTCTGTCTCTTTATGTCTCCGTTCCTCCCGTTATGTTGCATCCTGCTTAAATCGTTATCACTCCCTTGTGTTTCCACCACTCTCCTAATGTCGCCATCAATCCCCTTAACAAGATTTCGTTCTTTTTAAGTTCCATGGCCACCAAATGTCTCTCCTGTCGTGTCGCCTTCTCTTGTCGCCTACACATCTCTTTTGTTGCTGCTACTCCTTTACAATGTCCTTCTCATAAATCGTCATCATACCCCCTTGTCACCTTCGCACGCCTCCTGTCCCCTTCGTAAACCACACTTACGTTTCCCTTCTGTCTTTCTCATCCTTTATGTCTCCGTCAATCCCCTGTCACCTTTACTTCTCTGACAGCCACTGTCCGTGCCTAATGCTTCTAGTGTTTCCCCATTAGGAGTTTTTGTGTTTTTTTTTCCCCTCTTTATGTCTCTGTCATTTTCCCCATGTCACCTCTCACATACCAGGTACTAGAGCCCATTATTCTGGCTCCATCGCTAAACCTCTGGGTAGCATTGACCATCTCATCACACCTTTGCAACTTAGCTTCCTCATTTGTAAAATCCACACAGGGACGCCTATGTCAGGGATGAGAGTGAGGGTCCTGTGAGTTTATTCTGGTGACATGCCCAGCTCGATGTGGCTAACACAATTAATCATCTCACCCTTGCCCTCATCCAGTCACCTTCATCCCCTCCTCATTGTCACTCTCCCCCACCCCCCAGCTACCCTCATCATTCCCGAGGTGTCACACTCTTTATATCCTGACAAGTTCTGCTGCAGCAGCCAACCCCTGCTGTCCCACGTCACAGTCTCCAAGCTGTCCTCCCCTCTGCCACGTCACCACACCTGGGAGGGTGGCCCATCAGCCATTAAGAGCCTTGCTCATGTCAATATTAATCCCTCCCTCTTTACCTTGGTGGACAGACTGATTTCCCACCCTCAAATTGAGAGCACTTAGCCCATAGCAGGGGTCGGGCAGGGCTTGGTGGGGGGAAGACTCTAGGTAGCTTAGACCCAACCCTCCCTTGACTCATAAAATCAGGGGTACAGAGAGATGAGGCAGGTCTCACCACACCATCAAACCTCAGCAACCCTAAATCCCCAGGTGAAGAGGCAAATATCTTAGTCACTCAGCTTGCCTTAGCATGGCTGAGGAGGACAGTCATTACAGTGTGTGCCGGGGACTGGAACCCCTCAGGTGCCAATCTTGGTTTTAGCATTTAGTACTTAAATAGCTACATGAACTTGGGCGGGTGGCTTAGGGTCCCAGTGCCTCAGTTACTACATCTGTAATATGGGAATGCAAATACAAGTTATTCATTCAATCGATATTTGTTAAGCATGTTCTACATGCCCAAGATTGTGCTAGGCATGGGGACACATGAGTGAACAAAACAGATTCCCTGGCATCATGGAGTTTACATTCTGTTAATAGCAATGGCAAGAGACAATAGACAAATGGGTAAGTAGATGATATGATATATTGGGGGGTGGGTAGGGAATGCAGAGATTGTAGTTTTAAGTAGGGTGACCTAGTGACATTTGAACAAAGACTTGAAGAGGGGGAGAGAGTGACATGGCTCTCTGGGGGAAGAGCAGCATTCTAGGCAGAAAGTAAAAGTGTTAGTTGCTCAGCTGTGTCCCACTCTGTGACCCCATGGACTGTAGCCGGCCAGGCGCCTCTGTCCATGGAATTCTCCAAGGAAGAATACTGGAGTGGGTAGCCATGCCCTTCTCCAGGGGATCTTCCCAACCCAAGGACTGAACCCAGGTCTCCCACGTTGCAGGCAGATTCTTTACCGCCTGAAACACCAGGGTAGCCCCATTCTAGGCAGAGGGAATGGCACGTGCAAAGGCCCTGAGGTAGGAGCTTGCATGGCTTCCCTAAGGGGTAGCGAGGAGGCCAGTGAGGGAGGAGAGGGATGAGGGATGAAGTCAGTGAGGTGATGGGGGAAGGTCCCCTGGGGTCTCACACGTTGTGGAAAAGACTGGCTTTACCCTGAGTGAGGGTGGTTTGGAAGAGAGGAGGGATGTGATCTGATGT